AGTGCAGGGCTTTTTTTTTTTTTTTTAATTGCCAGGATGCTGGTGCCAGGCAGGGCAGCCATGGGTAGTCCTTGGGTGCAAGCGAGGGATGGGGCCAGGTGTAGCAGGTATTGGGGAGGTTTGGGGGGTGCAAGTGGGGGATGGGACTGGGTGGGCAGCTATTGGGGGAGTCTGGGGGGTACAAGTGGGGTGTGGGGCCAGGCGGTGCAGCCATTGGGGGGGCTGCAGGAGCCAGTGGGGGATGGGGCCAGGCGGTGCAGCAATCCGAGGGGCTGGGGGAGCAAGTGGAGATGGGACATGTGGGCCCTGTGGGGGAGGGGTAGCCCCTGCAGGGGCTATGTGAACCCTGTGGTGGGGCTGTAGCCCTGTGGAGGGATGTCCATGAGATGTGCAGGGGGGCTGCACCCTGCAGGGCGCAGGGGACCTACCCCTCCTGAGTAGAGCCCCCACGATCCACCGACACCTACCCACACACCCTTGCTCCTCACATTCCCCCAGCACACACCCTGCGTGCCCAGCTGCCAGACAGGATGAGACCTGCTGGCAGGAGCTGTGGCTGCAGGGGCAGCTGTCCCCACCTCCTGGTTAGTGAAGGGGTCAGGGGGAGCTGCTCTATGATAAGAAAACCAAAGGCAAACAGCAAAACATATAGGTATTTAGAATTCATTTTATTATGATGATAGAGACACTGACAGGTTTCCAGATTTCTTTAACACTGTAGGTATGTCAGTAAAACACTGCCTGAATTGATGTGCTTTACCTTTTTTGCACACTGCTGCAAATTTTAGTATAGATACTCCATAAAAACACTTGAGTAGCATGTTTGTATCTACTTACGCATAGTACAATCTTTTTTTTAAATATAATTTCATTCCCAGACCCAATTTACTGAAATTTCATCCTTCATAATATCATAAGGCCTCTAGTTGTGGCAAACTCTCTCTGATGTACGGGTCCCACAAACTGATGTGAAGAAACTGGATGGATAAGGGTATTGTGCATGTAGAATGGCTTCTAATAGGAAAACGTATTAAATCATTTTCTGAGTCATGCAATGAATTTGACTTTCTGAAAACAGTTAAATGGCAATATATTTGATGTCATCAAGTATTAGAAAGTCAGCTTTGACTTGAGGCTTTTTAAGTACAGCAAATACTTCAGAAATATTATTTTTTGCCTGGAAATCTGCTTCTCTTCCCCATTCTCTGACATCACTCTATGAATATATAATGTCATGTAACAGACCTGATACAGTTTATTTAAGACTGAAATGGAATGGATACCTTGAAATGACAGAATCCCAGTGGAAATCACCAATTTACAAAGCCCTCTCGCTCTCTATATATGTAGTGGCCTTTTGTTTCAATTGTGGAGGAACATGGATTTCGGGATATTTTACAGAGTGACTTCAGGA